AATTTTTTTTATTATTTTCGTAACTTAAAAACAAAAAGCTTTTGAACAGCATCCTTGAAACATGATTCACGTTCTTCATGTGTTGATAATTCACCACATCGTTTATATGCAGCTACAAGTGGATTCCAATGTGGTCGATTATTGCGACGTTGTAATAAATTGTTGGATGAACGAAATCGAAATGGAAAAATTGAACGTTTCGATGAAGGTTTTTGATGTTGTTTTATGTCTGATAGAAGTGATAACCATGGTGTTAAACTATCATTGTTTTCGTCAATATTTGCATCAAAACCTATATCATTATAATCAGATTCCATATTTTTTATAGGTAATGCTTGATCAAATTCTTTATCATAAGAAGATGACAATGAATCACTGAATATATCTGCAGTAGGCTAAAGTTTTTAAATTAAAATATGATTATTTAAATCACAAAACAAAAAACGAACGTTTTAATTAACTTACGTTATTGTCTAAAGTATAGATTTTATAGAGAGAAGTTGATTGAATAAGGACAAGAAATAATAATAATCGATGGATTGAAATTAATATGGCAACCATTTTGATTTAAGTCAAAGGAAACAAAAAAAAAGAAAATGTATCTAAAACAAAAATATTACATTCATAATTTCGTTGTTGATTACAATTTTTAAGTGAGAATACGTAAAACTAACATGATTTCTACTTATATACTATATATATAAGCGAGAATCAGAGAGAGAGGGAGAGAGAAAACAAATAAGAAAAAAAAAATTATCTAGATTCTACGACTGTAAAAAAAAGAAGCAGTAGGTGTTGCGAGAGAAAATAATGATAATGACGCGTTGCAAAAAGGAAATCATGGAATTTTACTTTTTTTAAAATTAAATCATCAAATTGGTCATTTATGGAATGATAATATTGAATGAAAATATTCATATACATATTTATCATGACTAGAATACTTATACAATGCTATTAAAAATATTAACCTATATCCACTAGTAATGGATACAGACGTGTCAATGTAGTTTATTAATACAAACACTTGAAAAAAAAAAACAATAAAATATAGAACAATTTAAGAATATATTTCCGTAATTATTTATAATATTAGTCATCTATATTTTTGACATTCATATTATACTAAAAATTAATGTATAGAACATATTAATGGCATATATAAATCTATTAAACAATAGATATTACAATAAGGAAGTAATTAGTTTCTAAAATGAAAGCTGTATTTATATTTGTTTAGTGTAAAAAAAAATGTATTTTGCTAAATATTGTCAAAAGCCTCTTCTCCCACGCTTACTCATTTTTTTTTGCCTCTTCGATAATATTGTTGATCTGACTTTTATCCTTTGGCATTTCCACTTCTTCTATTATATACAAATTACACATTAATACTCATGTGAACACATTTTTTTGTATTTGATAAAAGACCAAGAGAAAGAACGGAAATCCTTTTTATAATGTTGATTCTAAGTACTTCATTATAACAAGAGCTAAAACATCAACTTGTTGATGAAAATGAAGACAAAAAAAAATCTGCGTCAATTCAATTATTTCAGAATAGAAAAAACATGTTCTTAATGAAATATCAATCATATTGCTCTACGTGACGACGACATATGTATTTGTTCACTCAAATGATTATTAAATATTATTGTTTACTACTTTTTTTAATATTGATTTATATTCTCTTCGACATAATTGACAATTTATTGAGCAAATTCGTGTGATATATTATATTCATTTATGAAAAAAAAAAAAAAAAAAAAACAAATTAAAAACGTCATAAATATTCAAGTTTTATAAATACAAAATTTCAGTGAGATTAATAAGCCAGAAGAAGAGTTACAAAAGTTTTTTTTTTTCCATAAAAAGAAAAGGAAATCATACACATGAAATAACGTACGATTAGCTTTTTGAGTTCCGTTACAAGTATAAAATAATGTAGCAAGCATACCAGGAATCTATATATGGGCGTGCTCAACGGTATGGTACCCCGCATGTTATTTCTC